TTCTGGCAGCCATTTTGTGACTGCTGCCCACAGTTCTTTCTCAAAATTCCAAATGTGCCCAGTGTCCCCTGGAAGCTCCCCAATTTCTGCTTTAGTTCATTTAGATCTGGGCACAAATTGGTTTTCTTTTGCTTCTCACCCTTCCAAGGCTGGTTTTATATTAATTTTATGCTAGCCTGTTGTTGTTTACCATGTCCAACTGGACCATAAAGAAGGCTGATCGCTGAAGAATCGATGCTTTTGAATTATGGTGCTGGAGGAGACTCTTGAGAGTCCCATGGACTGCAAGAAGATCAAACCTCTCCATTCTGAAGGAAATCAGCCCTGAGTGCTCCCTGGAAGGACAGATCGTGAAGCTGAGGCTCCAATACTTTGGCCACCTCATGAGAAGAGAAGACTCCCTGGAAAAGACCCTGATGTTGGGAAAGATGGAGGGCACAAGGAGAAGGGGACGACAGAGGACGAGATGGTTGGATAGTGTTCTCAAAGCTACCTGCATGAGTTTGACCAAACTGCGGGAGGCAGAGGAAGACTGGAGTGCCTGGGTGCTCTGGTCCATGGGGTCACGAAGAGTCGGACACGACTAAACGACTAAAGAACAATACCATGTCCAACAATGTTTTATGCTAGGTTTTGAATTTTCACATCATTTGTGAAAATTTCATTTCATTGAATGAATTGTGTTCGTGTTTTCGTAAGCCTCCAATAAGACTTTGGTCAATGGGATGCTTAGATACGGAAAGAACAACAGCAACATATTTCTTCATTTATCTACTTGTGATTACTTTAGGCTGGGTGTGGGGAGCCTTTGCCCCTCCAGATATTGCTGAACTACAACTCCCATCATCCCTATGCATCAATCATGCTTTCTGGGGTGATGGAAGTTGTAGTTCAACAATATCTAGAGGGCCGAAAGTCTCCCACAACTGCTTTAGGCATTTGCGAAAGGCCTATTTATTTACTTGAGCACATTTTGGCTTAAATAAATTATTTATTACATAAATAATAATAATAATAAATTTATTTATTACATTTATATCCCACCATTCCTCCAAGGAGCTCAAAGTATCATACCAAGTTCTCCTCCTCCCCATTTTATCATTGCCACAACCCTGTGAGGGGGCCAGGCTGAGAGGCAGTGACTGGCCCAAGGTCGCCCAATGAGCTTCTGGTCTGAATGGGGCATTTGAACCCTGGTCTTCCAGCTTGTGGTCCGACACTCTAATCACACTGACTTTTAGTCATTTGTTTTAGCTACCGAGGATCCCGTGCCATTTCCCCTTTTTCATAATGAAACAAGAACCAGTGCCAGATTAAACAAGAATTTACAATGCACGCCTAACAATTTCCACTCAGAAGTAAGCCCTGTTGAATTCCATGGGGATTACTCCCAAGTAAGCGGGGTTAACTGTTCTCCTCACAAAACCTGACATCCCTCCTTGCCCACAAAATGTAAAAGTGCAATGTATATTAATTAACCAACCATCCTTGCTGTATTAACCCTTTTACAGATTGTATTGTCTGTAAACTGCTGTAGATTTTATTGTTGAAAGGCAGCACAAATAATGTTTTAACTGAAATAGTGTATTTGAAAGTAAATAAATATTGTGTTCTTTTTCCCATCCGTAAAAGGAACAAAGGCACCAGAAGACAAGGAGTCCTCGATTTTGATTTGGGTCAGAGTTGCTGCTTTGAATATAGCCGAGCTCTGTTGTGCTTCTATGATTGTTATGATGTCAGCTATGATGGATGATTCCTCTCCGAAATGTGGATGAAAGGAACAAAACGAATATTAGCCTCTGCACGGAGTCCCTCTGACAACTATATTCCTCAGAAAGAGTTCAACACATGGCACAGCTTCCAAAGCTCCCAACAAAAGAAGACCCTGTGATCCCAGAAACATGGATCAGTTTTTGGCCTCTAATAAAAGTCTGTTTGCTCCAGCGAGGTAGATTATATATTTTTTTTTATATATAATTTTTTTATTGATTTTACAAACAAGTTTTATACAATACAAACAAATAAAAAGACATACAAACATGTATAGTTTCATAACCTTTTTTTCATAACCCTCTCTTCTCGGACTCCCCCAAACCTCCCCTTCCTACATCCCAATTTCCAAAATTATTTCAGCAAATTCTAAATAATTTTATCAAATATATTTTTCTTATTTTTTTTTTCTTCAACTTAATCTTATGTCGCTGTAATCTCCTTTTCTTTCTCCAAACCTCGACATTTTAACATTCCTCAATTTTATAATAGTTCTTTAGATAGATTTTAAATTTCTTCCAATCTTCTTCCACCGTCTCTTTCCCCTGCTCACGGATTCTGCCAGTCATCTCAGCCAATGTCATATAGTCTATAACCTTCATCTGCCACTCTTCCAAGGTGGGTAGTTCTTCTGTCTTCCAATACTTTGCGATGAGTATTCTTGCTGCTGTCGTAGCATACATAAAAAAAGTTCTGTCTTTCTTTGATACCAATTGGCCGGCAATGCCCAAGAGAAAGGCCTCTGGTTTCTTCAGGAAAGTACATTTAAGTACCTTTTTCATTTCATTATATATCATTTCCCAGAAAGCCTTAATCTTTGGGCACGTCCACCAAAGGTGATAAAAAGTACCTTCAGTTTCTTTACACTTCCAACACTTATTATCAGGCAAATGATAAATTTTTGCTAGCTTGACTGGAGTCATGTACCACCTATAGATCATTTTCATAATATTTTCCTTTATGGCATTACATGCCGTAAATTTTATACCGGTGTTCCACAACCATTCCCAGTCAGCAAACATAATGTTATGACCAATGTCCTGTGCCCACTTAATCATAGCTGATTTAACTGTTTCATCTTGTGTATTCCATTTCAGCAGCAAATTATACATTCTTGACAAGTTCTTAGTATTGGGTTCTAACAGTTCAGTTTCTAATTTTGATTTCTCCACCTGGAAGCCAATTTTCCTGTCTTGTTTATACACCTCCATTATTTGATAATAATGGAGCCAATCTCGTACTTTGGGTTTCAATTTCTCATAGCTCTGTAGCTTCAACTTATCTCCATCTTGTTCCAAAATTTCCCGATACTTTAGCCATTCGGCTTCCATATTAAGCTTTTTCAACGCCGTAGCTTCCAAAGGTGACAACCATCTAGGGGTCTTACTTTCCACCAAATCTTTATATCTTATCCAAACGTTATATAATGCTTTCCTGACAATATGATTTTTAAAGGCCCTATGCACCTTAATTTTATCATACCATAAATATGCATGCCAACCAAATGTATTGTTAAAACCTTCTAAGTCCAAGATGTCTGTATTCTCGAGGAGCATCCATTCTTTCAGCCAGCAAAAAGCTGCTGCTTCATAATACAGTTTTAAGTCCGGCAGGGCAAACCCCCCTCTTTCTTTTGCATCCGTCAGTATTTTAAATTTTATTCTGGGCTTTTTGCCCTGCCAGACAAATTTCGAAATATCCTTCTGCCACCTCTTGAAACAGTCTATCTTGTCTAGAATTTGTAATGTTTGGAACAAGAATAGCATTCTAGGCAATACATTCATCTTAATAACTGCAATTCGGCCTAACATTGACAATTTCAAATTTGACCATATTTCTAGATCTTTTTTTAATTTCCGACCAACATTTTTCATAATTGTCTTTATACAGGTTCAAATTCTTAGATGTCAAATAAACCCCTAGGTATTTCACCTTCTTTGCCACTGTCAAACCTGTTTCATTCTGAAACTTCTCCCTCTCCATGACTGTTAAATTTTTTCCAAAACTTTAGTCTTTTGTTTATTCAATTTAAATCCAGCTACCTGGCCAAATTCTTGCATTAGCTCCAACACCCTTTTTGTACTAGTGTCTGGCTCTTGTAAAGTAAGTACTAAATCATCTGCAAAGGCCCTTAACTTGTAATGTTTAGCTCCGACCTGTACACCTTTAACCTGCTGGTCATCTCTAATCATATTTAGCAACACCTCCAGAACAGAAATAAAAAGTAATGGGGAAATAGGGCACCCCTGTCGTGTCCCTTTTTCTATTTTAAATTCTTCAGTTATCACATTATTTACAATCAACTTAGCCTTTTGTTCAGTGTATATAGCACCCATACCATTCTCGAATCCTTGACCTACCCCCATCCCCTGAAGATTCTTTTTCATAAAACTCCAAGAAATATTGTCAACGAGGTAGATTATAGCAGGGAAGAACTTGGGCCATCAAGTCAACTTGCCAAGTTAGTGGCGCACAGGGGGAAATGGCAGCGTTCCACTCCGCGGATGATTAGAGAAGGCCCTTTGTTCTTACGCTCAGGGAATCGACTGGATCAAGTCCAGGGAGCTGCAGGAAAGAAAGGCGGGGGGAGAGAGAGTGAGAGATGGAGCTCAAAGGAAGTCAGGAAATAAATAAGAGGTCCTTACAAACAGGCAGTTTTCTGCAACTGGGCCTTCTGCTGTTAAAGTACTGATGGGGGACCTCAGGCCTAGGAGCCAAATCTGACTCACTAGTCCATTCTATCTGGCTTTTGGGGCTCTCCCTATCCGGAGTTCAGCCTACACTCGAGTAGGACCCTGGCAGAGACACATGCCTGACTGGCATGTTCTCTCCCTCCTGGTCTTTCATTTGGGAGTTTCAATAAGCTTTCTTCAGCCCAAACATCACAACGACTGATGCCAACCGACACCGGCACACTTAGGGATCCACAGAGTTTGCGCATCATGCGCGTGACAGACCTCAGCAACTCAGCATTTTGGCCAATCTACTTTATTTACATATAAACACACATGGAGCACCGCAACATGGCTCCCTCTCTCTCTAGCATCAGACAGCAAAGAGAAAAAAAGCACAGGACAGTAGTCCCACTTCACGGAACACAGTAACACAAACATCCTGTTTCCGTCACTTCCCACTTTGTGGAGTCATGTATACCATCATGTGAAAGATAACAATCCTATGACTGCAATCATAGAGCAGGAATTCTAACACTCCCAAGTCATCATCAGAAGGGCTGTAGCTCAGTGGTGAAGCCATCCGCCTTGCATGGAGAAGGTCCTTGGTTCAATCCCAGGTAGGGCTGGGAGAAACTCCCCATCTGAAACCCCAGAGAGCTGCTGTCAGTCAGTGTAGACAAGATATGTTTTGAGCCTTGGTGGGGGGGAAAGAACATAAGAACATGAGACAGGTCTGCTGGATCAGGCCAATGGCCCATCTAGTCCAACGTCCTGTTCTTACAGTGGCCGGCCAGATGCCTGTGGGAAGCCTGCTAGCAGGACCTGAGAGCAACGGCACTTGGTCCACTTGTGATTCCCAACAATTGGTATTCAGAGCCATATGCCTCTGACAATGGTGGTTTTTGTGAGGATCTAAGGTGCAATCCCTTCTTTTTCCCCAGTGCAGTCAGTGACCATTTTAGGCACATCCGGCATGTCTGCAACTGCACATGCACTCATCATGCCAAATCTGGAAGTGGCTTGAAGATGTCAAAGAATGGGGCAGAATGAGGTGTTTTTCAACAGTGTTTCAAATATATGAATTTTCAGTTCAACACGCAGTGCCTCGGAATGTAAGCCCCATGTAAATTGGAAGTTTCCTGTACAGTCGTACCTTGGTTCATGAACAGAATCCGTTCCGGAAGTCCGTCCGACTTCCAAAAACATTAGAAAACCAAGGCGTAGCTTCCGATTGGCTGCAGGAGCTTCCTGCATTCAATCGGAAGCCATTTTGGATGTTTGGCTTACAAAAGAAGTTCGCAAACCAAAACACTTACCTCTGGGTTTGCGGGGCCAAAATGTTCGAGTTGCAAGGCTTTTAAGAACCAAGGTACGACTGTACCTAGGAAAGGGAGGAAGTTTTAAGGGTGTGCACAGGAACAATCGGCATTCCTTTTGGAATGGGGAACCCCCTTTACTCTGAGAGGCATACTGGTCCATGGCTCTCCTCTGCATCATTTCTAACCCGCCAAATGCAGCTAACCCCATTGTAATAATCCTGTGCCAGGAGGCTTTGAGAGGGCTTGCAAGCCTGCACTCAAAATCACTCATATAGTCATCGTCACATATTAGGAAAGCCATCAGATCAGTATAAATGGGCAACGCATGTTGCCAATGAACGCGGCGCTCTCTGAGAAGCCACCTGCACTGCTTTCCCTATGGAATTGAAACTGCACTGTATCCAAATTGCATGATGATGTGAGGCTAAAGAACCTTTTCACGGGCTTCATAGGAGGGTTTGGGAAATGATTCATTCTTCTCTTCTCTCTTGGCTCAGAAGCATGGAAATATGCACCACCCGAAACTCGCCCAGAGCCTTAGCTATCACGCAGACAAATGCCCTAGGAAACAGGGCGGCGGGTGTAAAGACCCAAGACAAACTGTCTATTGATAAGTTAGGAAATGCAAAACAACAACAAACCTATGGTTATGTAAAACATACTCAATAAACACACAAGACATAACCAGCTGTACGTTTGAATAAATAAGGTATACTATTCATTGTATCAAACTGTAGATTCCAACGGAAGTCTCATAAAGTTCAACCAAACAAACCACAGAAGACCCAGTGGATCAGTTCATTCTCTAGTCAGTTCATGCATAAGGTCCATACATGTATAAGTGTCTATTCCACCTGTCTGTTCACTGCAACCACTACTATGCTATAAGATCCACTATCCTGTAATATTACATATGAGCTTGTACTACTGATGAAGCCTAGGTTGGCAAAACAAGGCTAATATTCCGGAAATCCTTGCCTTGGACTCTGTGAAAGGGTTCTGTGGAACTGTAACAATCCTTCATGTGGATTATTGGACTCTATGAACAGACAGGTGGAATAGACGCTTATACATGTATGAACCTTATGCATGAACTGACTAGAGAATGAATGGATCCACTGGATCTTCTGCTTTTTTTCGTTGAACTTTATGAGACTTCCTTTGGAATCTACAAATTGATACAATGAATAGTATACCTTATTTATTCAAAAGTACAGCCGGTTACGTCTTGTGTGTTTATTAAGTTAGGAAATGCAGCATCTACATAAAATTAATTTTGTTTTTGCTTTTTAAAAAAGCCCTCCCAGTATGGCTGTTAGAATGGTCAGCAAAGAAACACCAGCCACTAGAGGGCGATGTTCTATTACACATTGGGCAGACACTCTAGGTCAAAAATTGGCTTGGTTTGATACTGTTTCAATATAAGCAGAATCAATATATTCAGATAATAATAATAATAATAAAAGGATTGTGGTATCTTAATTCATAAAAATGGTCATCTATTCTTTAACAGAAAGGGAAGTGTTTGTTTGTTTTCTGTCTCTCTGTGTGTGTACAGGATCAGTTTATTACCAAATGATGAGCTTCGCTCAGGGGCTTGGAGATTTAATGACATGCTTTCCATAAACATAATAAATCCTTACCAAAATATATATATTCAAATGTGCAAGCTCTTTTAGTCTTGGCAGTCAATTTTTTTGTTACTGCTATCGTTTGGAGAGAGAGAGAAAATGAAAGAAAGAAAAACAAGTCTGTCACAGCCAGTCTCCATTTGTAAGGCTTTTCCTACTCTCCAAAGTCTTGGGGTTTTCACAGAAATTAACTGGTCTTCTTCTCTCTGTGACGATGGAAAAGAAGAGTTCTTTCATCAGAGGTGATGAAGAAGCTCTGCATTTCTGTCTCTCTGCGTCTTCTATAGCTTGATGGAACAGCTTGTATAGATGGAAGTTGAAAGCAGATTCTAAGAGCAGGACTTAGAGCAGAAAGAGATGCTCTCTGATAAGTTAATCCATTCCCCTCCTACACACTGTAGTCCCAATTCTGATCCCCCTCCCTGTTGGCTGTTATAAATATATAAGAACTAGACATATTAATTACAATCACACATTTAATGCCAGGTCTAGAATTGATGCTTTTGAATTATGGTGCTGGAGGAGACTCTTGAGAGTCCCATGGACTGCAAGAACATCAAACCTATCCATTCTGAAGGAAATCAGCCCTGAGTGCTCACTGGAAGGGCAGATCCTGAAGCTGAGACTCCAGTACTTTGGCCACCTCATGAGAAGAGAAGACTCCCTGGAAAAGACCCTGATGTTGGGAAAGATGGAGGGCACAAGGAGAAGGGGACGACAGAGGACGAGATGGCTGGACAGTGTTCTCGAAGCTACCAGCATGAGTTTGACCAAACTGCGGGAGGCAGTGGAAGACAGAAGTGCCTGGCGTGCTCTGGTCCATGGGGTCACGAAGAGTCAGACACAACTAAATGACTAAACAACAACAACAAAGTGTGGCCCTTATTCAAACAACTTCTTTTTAATTAAAAAAAAATCTGTATCGGGGAAGGAAAACCCTTTTCAGTGCAACGGCAGCATTCCTTTGTGGGCAACCCTTCTGAATACCACATTGCAGTGATGGGTAGGACCAGAGGGGAAGGACGTGACTCTTACCTTTGTATAGTAGGTTGCATTTTGAACATCCCTCTCTCTTCCTCGTCCTCCAGCCATCCAGGTGAGCAAGAGGCGTTATCACATTTGAAGGTCAAACTCCAGCCAGGCAAAATCACCTGAGGAGAATGTGGAACTGGGTAACTGAGGGGTAGGGTTGGGGAAGAAAGTAATTCCAGCTTGCATTTAAGGACAAAACAACTAAATTCGCACTTCCAGAAACAATACGTTAAAAGGAACACAGCCGTCATTCCAAATTCACACTTCTCTGAATTTTGCGATGCCATTCGCCCACCAATTAATATGGACAAAAATGCATAAACTAAAGTGCATTCAAATGCATTATTGCACATAACTTGTGTATACAGTAAGCCTGCAACTTATGTGGGGATTCTGAGGATTTTGCCTAAAACCAAAGTTATGTATAGTTGAAACACCTTGGGTGCGAAGGTGGGTGGGATAGCCAAAGTCCTTTTTCTTGGACACTTGCTCCCTTTTTAATTTTGCCACACACAAAGAGAGCTGAATGCACACAAGTTAAATCTATGTAAGTTGGCTTAATGTGTCAGGAGAAATTTGCTGATGAACTCTCACGAGGAGTTTACAGGCTGATGTGGAAGTGTGAAAAACTGCACTTAAGAATTGGAAAACCAGAAACCAAAATTGACAGAGACTCCCATTTCTGGTGAGGGGTGTGGCTTGTTGGGAAATGCCCTGGGGTGCCCCTCCAGCCCCAAACTCTGACCATCCTCTGGTATGCTCAGCTCTGGAAAAGGCATTTCCCTTCTTCTCCAGTGCACTTCAGTGGCATATAACAACAACAACAACAACAACAACAATTTACTATTTGTACCCCACCCATCTGGCTGGGTTTCCCCAGCCACTCTGGGTGGCTTCCAACAAAGATTAAAAATACATTAAAATGTCACACATTAAAAACTTCCCTGAACAGGGCTGCCTTCAGATGTCTTCTGAATGTCAGGTAGTTGTTTATCTCTTTGACATCTGATGGGAGGGTGTTCCACAGGGTGGGTGCTTATACCGAGAAGGCCCTCTGCCTGGTTCTCTGTAGCTTTGCTTCTTGCAATGAGGGAACTTCCAGAAGGCCCTCGGTGCTGGACCTCAGTGTCCGGGCAGAACGATGGGGGCGAAGACGCTCCTTCTGGTATACTGGGCTGAGGCCGTTGTATCAAATGATATAAGCACACTAATCTTCTGGCATAACACAGCAAGAAGTGTGAGACATCATAGAGCTAATCTAGGTATTTATTTACACACTATTTACAGACAAAGGAGTCATGGCGTCCTCTCTCTCCAGCTCCGAGAGAAGAACAGGAACAAGCAAAAGTACAGTACAATAGTACATACAGCGGAAGAGATGAGACTGTCTTCCATTCCCACACTCTTCCCAGACAGGCATGTGAGGGTGTGGCCAGTTAAGGGACACAATGTGAGAAGAGCCCTAGAGGGCTGTACTTGACCTCTGGGACTGAGGTTCCCCACTTCTGATCTATAGATCGGATCATAGTGCTCCTGAGATCAGTGGGGGTCATATCTTAGCAAACCGTTTCTCAAGCAAACAGACCAAAAGCCACATTTAGTTGACGAAATGAAACAAAAATACCAAACCACTGGTTGCGCAGA